CGCGTAGACATCACTGCATGAAACTAGAAGTTATTTCACAATCAAAGAAAGTTGCTTTCCTTATTGAAGGTTGTTCCAGAGCTTGGTTTATGTGCTCTTCCAGTGATAAGTTGTTTGCATTTGAACGGACAGATTGAACAGACAGACGTCATTGCTTGGATAAACATGTTCATTTTTATTATTATTCCTGTCTTATTTTTAGTTTTATTCTTATTTTCGAATTACATTGCTTACTTTACTAATGGCAGAAATATTGAATCTTATTTTAGGTCGTAGCATTTGCTACTGTCACTGCTTTGCTTTGGTACTTATCAAATGGACGTCGTGGTCGGTACTTGTTTGAAGATGTGCCCTGAAAAAGAGATCGAAACGCGCCAGGCGGAGCATCTGATTCATCCTTTGGAAAGCGCTGATTATATTCCCTCCCACAGTCATACCGGAAGGTCGTAACTGAATGTTTTGTACTTTGCGTTCATGGACAATTGATTTATTTAGGATATGGCGGCTTAAAGGTGATCCTTCGAAAATGGTGAAAGCTTATTTGCACTCCGGGGTGGGCAAGTCTACGTTTCTTGCGGAAGAATTGCGTCCGTTTGCAGTTGTGGTCGAAACAACGGATTATCTTCTGAAGTATTCTCAGAATTCAGCTAGATTTTGTCCTTTTCAATCAGCCAGATATAAGTTTATGCGCCTCTGCACAATACCAATGGGACCTGGTTTACGAGTTTGTTGCCGACCGACTACGTTCCGTTAGACAAGACATGATCGTGCAGCAGTTTCCCGCCAGCCAGTGGATTGAAATTCTCGAAAGGATGCTTCTGTTTTATTTCTATGCTAGTTATCGGTAAAGTTTTGCTTCTTTTCGTAAACTTCGTTAACGACGTCGAAACACTTTTAAAATAAGTAAATTTGAATAAATAGTAGCTTTAAGAACTGTCAACAGTGTAAATGAGGTTAGTCGTTCTTGTTGTTGTTAAATAACGTCTGGAAAGATACAGGGCCTTGTTGAAGTCCGTTGTTAACATCCTTTTTACCGTCCATCCATGTATACTCGAATACCGAGGTCGTTAATAATGACTGGTGCCCTTTTGTAGGTTATTTTTGCGCTTCATTACCCTTTAGGCTTTGCGGGGTAGACTGGACCATAGCGCCAAACAGTATCTTAAACCAAGATAAGTTGGTCATTGCCGCTTTTATTTTACTTATGTTGAAATCTAGCTTATATAGGCTTGTAAGAGAATGCAGTTGATCACTGCAGCTGCACCCAGAGCGAAAATCAGAATGTTTGTCAGAGAATAACTTTGATAAGTAGAAAGATCCAAGTAGGAGAACTCTTCATATAAGTTTCTGGCTCTGCAAAGTAAGGACAGGCCTAAAGTTATTTGACCTTTCGCGTTGTTCTTTCGGTTTCGTAAAGGTGATAACTTTAGAACGCCGCCAGGAAATGTAAATAACACTGGGCTGTGGACTGTAATAAATTGCAGAGGCCAGTTATTATCCCCTTTGGTCCAGAATTTTTGCGATATCCAAGAAAATTGTCTAGGCCAACAGCTTTGCTGTTTTTTCTGTCCATCAACGCCTCTGTTATTTTCTCTGTTAAGCACATCGTGGATATAGGGCTTGTTTCAAGGCACATGCTACGTTGGGGGAGGTATTTTTTTTGCACTTTCCTACGAGTGGCTTTAATTGCCAAAGTTTTTTGATATCTGAAGGACGTGAATAGCAACGCAGTTCACAGGAAATTTAATGACCTGGCACCTTGACGGTTCAGCGGGCGAAATGTGACGTACAAGCGTAAATGCCTTGTGACACGGCTTTGTGAGTTTCCACCGTCTCCACAGCTTTTGACGCTCAAAGTTCGAGGATTTCGTGGATGCCACATATGTTTTAGGTGTTTCTCAGCAAAGCTTATGGAGTTTCTTCTGCCCGCGCGGATATTCTTGCTATTACGGATCTCAGTAGTATTGTTGTAAAGATGGTATCAAATGAAAGAGCATGAGAGATTGCCCGTTGAACATGATCAACTGCATCAGCGGTGTAACTTGTCCAGTTTACTCTTCGCAAAATTCGATCTTGATGAGATGCAAATTCAATAAGGAGTATCTCCCGTGAAATTCGAAACATTACCTCGCGATGCTGATTTTTTGAAAGGCGTGTAATTATTACTCTGCTAATGTCTTTGTATTACTGATCAGCAGTGACGAAGGCCTATGCGCCTTGGCGGAGACTGTGTGCGTCATTGCAACAAACGCGGGCATTCAGCTAAAAACCGCGAAAATAAATGTGGTGAACAACCCAACAGAACACACAATTAAACACACCCCGGTATTTTTAAGTTAATTTTTAAATTTGCATTTCACGCTTTATGCTGAATAAAAGTTATTTATTATCTGGTGGGTCAAGGCGAATTGCAGCCACGAGGCCGCACGCATAAGACAGAATGCATGTTAGTGTCGCACACTCCGGCATTGTCACACCATAGTACCACATTCGCATTATAATTCGCAGATCAACAGTTTGCTGTCCGTTTCTCAGATAGTTGCACAGAGGCACGGTGAATGAATTCATTGTTCAAGGAAATTGGCAGTTATAATGAGAAAATAATGCGTCCGTTGCATTCGAACCCAGTGTCTCTAAAGTGCTGAGTCAAACCGGTATTCACTGTACCGCCGCTCCCTGAAATGATTGCGTCATCAGAGACGGCTGGCAGTTGAAATGACACCATGTCGAACGGCAGTAACAATGATCATGAGCTATAGGTTGCGCCTTAATTATAAGCCTCTTGAAAGTTTAGGTTGATGGGCGAACATTTTCGCTGCTATGATCTAGTACCGCTTTTCTGCGAGTAAGTTAGTTTTCCAACGGACTATGAGCAATTGCCCTTCAAGAGGAGACCAACGCCGGTTGAGCAGTCTTGATCAGCGCTTGTTAGGGCGTATCCTGAAAATAGAATGTGCAGCGATACCACAGACTGTCACTTTCTTAGATAGGTTATTCTACTTCCAAATTTGCTAAGATACGTAAAGCTGGTATACCATTTCACTTTTCATGAACGTTTCTCCTTTCGGGTTGCGGAGGCAGAGGCGTCAGACAGCGTTTTCGACTTCGATCCTGTGCCAGTGTCTGTTCTTCGGCCGAAGACAGCCGACGTTTAGACCAAACTCCTTA